GTGATGATCACATCACCGGTCTGAGTAGTAGTAGCACCATCGGTATCAGTAGTGGTAAAAGTAGTGGTATACTCGGTACATTCTGCACAGTCTGAGGTTATTGGGTCTACTGGTGCTGATGGAAACGGTTTACAAGAACAATCTGTTGGTGCAGGATTAGGTGGAGCATTGTTATACCATATTTGATTTCCCAACAATATACCTAATATAGCATTCGTTTTAAAGCCGCTAGTTACATATCCTGTCCCTATATCAAACTGAACATTGATTGCCCCAAGAAGACTAACAGTTAATATCCCAGTATTTGTATTATAGACATATCCTGTGAACGTTAATGTAAGTGCAATGATATTTCCATTACCGAAACCAGCAACCTTTATACGAGGATTACTTAAGACACCCCCTGTAAGAAGCAGAAGAGTGGATGATGGTGTACTAAGATAGATTGTTTGACTCGTATCAATCAGGAAAACCGCATTAAGAACGTTAGGAAGTAGCTGCATGGTTGCACCTGCACCAACGTTGAAACAACCGTCACCATTGATCGATGTTGATTGAACGTAAGTGACTCCTTCCAAACAAATTTGACCATTGTTTTCAAGAGACAAGAGTCCACTGGAACCAGCTACTTGTGCCAACACGACAAGGGACGCCACTCCAGATTGTTGTTTGAAATACATCAAACCATCGTTTGTCCAACCAGAAACAGAGGTGACTGTAAAAGGATCGGCCAAGTGCATTGCACTACCAAACCACATATCACCAGTGTTGGTGAACTCAGCAATACTCGCAAGAACATAAAGAGATGCAGCATTGGCACCTAAAGCATTAAATGCTAACTCTCCTGAGTTTTTGACAGAGCCACTGACAAGTGAAACAGCGGCAGCTGCCAAATTGGTACTTGTGACGTAGAACTCTCCCTGATTATCTAAGTTACCAGCAATAACAGTGGCTAAATTATTCACAATCGAGTAATAAACATCGGGATTAATTGTTAAAGAACCTATTTGAAGGTTTACTGGTGAAATCTGTACAGTATCTTTCGTAATTGTGACTGATATTACACTAGTTACAAACGCTAGACAAGCTGCAAAGAATTTGGTTCGAAACAACATTGTTGCAAAATATTATTCCTTAGACCTGTAATTCAATTTCAATCTTTTTGGACAACTCCGAATTTGCTTTCATTAAATACTTCTCCCAAAAATATCCTACTAATTTGTTTACTTAGCTGTGGTTCGCCTTCGTTATGGGCTCGACCTTCGTATAGGCAGATTTGCGTATATGGCTCGGGCATATTGTCATGTCTTGACGTCCGCATTAGATAGCCCACTGCTAATTCCGACCCGCCAATCGTAAGGCTAATATCATCAAGGATGTAAATGCATAATATTCCCTCCTATATCTTTTCTTCGATAATCGCTAAATAACGCATACCCGAGAAAGCTTAAATCTTCACAACAATCTTTTGTTTATTTCTTTTACAATCGATGCAATATAAACTGCAAGTGCATCATCTCCCGCATGATTATTTTATCACTATTCTTAATACTGATATCGTACTACCTATTCCTGTTAGATAATAGTCTTACCCTAGAAGACTGTCGGACCAAGACGCATACATTTCTATATGAATAGAGAAGAAATCTGCAACATGCAAATGCGCAATTGATGATTCTACAATGCATGTAAGGTAATGCAGTGTTTTTTTTCGTTGTCACAGAAGTTTATTTTTAACTACCGGAAATATAACGAGATCGGGATCGTAACCAGAATGAAGTATTTATCATGGCGTATTTGACAAGGATACAATAATATGTTACGTGGTTTATGGGATGGCACTTGGAGCTACTAAATGACGACTAGAGACAACAAGGGCGGTATATATCCCTTAGTTTTATGCAATTGTATATCATGGGAAGGGGTGGAAGGCTCTAAATTCGTGTTCACATTCATGTCCGTCGTATTTCGGGAAGTGCATATATGCATATTCACTGGCGGCCCGCGTGTTAGGTCAGGAAAAAGGGCCCAAATAACACACTCGTAATCGATATATCTTAACACCGACAGCATTGGTTATATAGCCGGTTCACCTAACGATTCTCTATTTCTCCATTTTTTCGGCGTCACTTGGCATACATTGGTCCAGCTTTCGGATCTTCAAATACTTGTCTTGGATAGTCGTTATATGCCCATATAATCTGTTCCCTATACACCATTATCACTGGTGGACTTGAAAACAATTGTATGGATACGTTGGGATGAGCGGCGATGACGCTCCATACAGATAACAGGCTATATTCTGAATTTTTTTCGCATTTAGGACTCCGAGTATATCTGCGGTTATGAGGATATCGTTTTTTATTTTAGCAAAATAAGACACTCATGATTCGACTCGACATGTGTCTTGACACGATGGCAGTCGTTTTGCATCCTCTAGGGCGTACAATACTTATTGTAAATAACTATTGCAAATATGCATTAAAATTCCTCAATATCTATAAGGCGTCAAAAACTATTCCAGAGAAGACTGCCTCGTAGATGTGAACTTGACAAAATCGTTCTCTCGTATATTCCTATTGTCTTTTTCGAGGCGTGGATTTGCTTTATCTAGAGTTTTTTCTCGGAAATACAAATGTGCGAACGTATGCACTAGGATTGATCTATGGATCGGTGCATTATTTTCAACACCTGAGTTGAAGATCATGTTACGAGTATTTCCTAATGGTAGAATTAGGTTTTAATTCACTAGATGATGTTTTCTGTCGTTACTGTAATTGAATAACTTTGGTGAGAAGCCTGAATCGCCTTGAATCACGATGCTTGTAATGGCTTTGATTCAGATCCCTTAATTGCGGTTAACTAAGAATTATTGGCAACCCAATAATTGTAGACCTGGACTTTGAACTCAACAGAATAATCCCCTTTGTCATGCAATGCGGTGCACTCGACCTGACCCGCGATCTAGCACAGAATTATTATGATTATTGGAAAATTTGTTGTATATTCTGTGCAAAACAGTCTGCTTATATGGCTCGATATCCTCTTTCCGATAGCAGTATTAATCATCACCAATAAATGTGAGAGGTCTTTCTCATTCATCAAGCTCCTCGAAATCATCTCAGAAAACATTGTTCTCACTTGTGAACGTCTAGGATGAGACGAAGTTCCCCGCAATGCCATACGATTTCGTACAAAGATCTCTTACACCGTGTGTCGTATTCGTACATATTTTTTACGAAATCTGGTCTCGCTGTAGGAGAAGCGAGTTGATATCGAAAGGCATGTGTGACAGAAGCCCAAGAAGAACAAGATAATGACCTTATAATAGGAGTTAAGTCATGTATACGTTTACAAAACGTTGCCAGCTGAAAATACGATTAAATATTTGGCAGGATATGTAAAATTTTAATTCAGAAGAGGCTATTGTAGTATTTTAAAAGTAATTATGGAAATCGTAGATCAGAACTCTATTTCTGTCAGTATACTAGATTCGGATTTTTTATTCTCTTCGCATTTTCTCTGAAAAATTGCATAAAATTAAATCATGGACCGAAGAAAAAATTCTTATTTATTAAATATCAATTATCAAGAGCACACGAATAAACAGAAAAGCGAGTACGCCAACTAAATACATGGCTAAATGAAATATATCAATTATATAAAATATGCCATCCATAGAGAACTATGCTTTGGATATTATATTTACTTATATGCGTACTATCTACGATTTTGCATTCGTTTTTTGAATTTCTTTATTCTAGGGTCATTAATCTTGAGCCGTTGATAGTTCGTTCTCACTGGTTTAACTTTTCCTTTCATATCTTTATGATTTGGGTCTTGGTGGACATATTCTTCTTCACTAGTTGTTTCGTCCTCTTCATGCATGTCATTCACCTCCATATAGTCCACAAGATTCTTCCGGGCTTCATCATCAATTTTTTTGACTTCATCATGAATATTAGCATTCTTTAACTTATCTTCCTTAGTTTCTTCCATGTTTGGTTTAATCTTCCATCTTCTGGTTGTACGCTTTTGCGTTATTCTTTTTCTTTTTGGGACATTGGTCGATGTATCCCTATCTATGATGTCATCATTATCATCTAATTCAGCAGCTTCTTCCTCATTTTCTATGCCATTTATCAAATCCGGGTCTTCCTTGATGTTTTTGTAATCATTGAAAATATCAGAAAGCTTTCTGTTATTTCCAAACGAGAATAGCCTATGTGGTTTTAAAGGTGATGGTGAAACCTGAAAGTTTAAGGATGCTGGCAGTTTTGTTGGCGTAATTGGATCTATAATATTCGATCTAATTGAGGAAATTGAATTTATAGGTAAGCCTTCAGCTACTACATAATCCTTGTCGTTGGAATCATCATCCATATCGAAGTTGAACTTATTATTAACTTTGGCCAAATATTGCGGCGTTTCCATATTATGCAAAAGAGACACTTTATTTCCTTCAGGCGTATGCATTTCAATACGTGTATTTTTAGCAGATGAAGCCTGTTCAAGTTTCTGCATCAATGATTTGTTTCTAGGCCCTCTGTTATTAGTAGGAGTCAATTCCAGAAGGTTAATTCTATTCACTCTCGTTTTAGTTGGGGTCTTGAACGTGTCTTCTGGAACTTCGTCCTCCTGCCTACTATACGTATCTGTACCCTTGCTTGCCTTATTCTTCAAAGGCGAGGAATCTGGCGGTGTTAGTCTTATATCAAGAAAAGACAATACTTTTCCATTGGCTTGAGGAGTTGGCCCCAATTCCGTATCTTGATTTTCAAGCTGATTATTACTAGAGTCTGAATTTTCATTGTTGAATTCTTCAACATCCTCAATATCTGACTGTGATTCTGACATATTAATATCTATACCAATATTTGCTGATTCCAATGCTCTTTTATCCTGAATATTACGGAGATTATTCGTTTTAGCCTTTAGAACCTTATATGTCTTATATAATTCATAAACCTTAGGGTCCACTTTTATATCCAGTCTCGATGGTATTCTTTTATTTGAGCGTTGAAATTCATGTTCCCAAACTTTTATGGCTTGTTTCAACTGAATGATACTTTCTTGATGTGGCATATACTATCTTTGAAGTGTCTTAAAGGTAAAATCTATAGTTGATAATAAGAAAGAAATGATATTTTATTGCGCGACGCGATCTTCACATTTTATTCTATACATTAATCTCAAATATACATACATCCATTAGTCTAAACTATCTACAAACTCTTTTACATTCGAAAAACTTGGATTATTTTCATTATCATTATTAATTGAATTGAGCATTTTGTAGACCGAGTTTTTGAAGCTTCTTTTCTCCTCATCAGAGTTAAACAAATTGTTATTCAACTCAAAATCATCAATAAAGGAACCTGCAATAGATGTCGAGTGGTTCCAATAGTTATTTAAAAAATAAACTATTGCTGATCTGTCGTTGCGGATAGCCAAATAGACTACCAACCTTACCCAATTCTTAATGGAAGATTTGCTGTCAATCTTACTATTGTTCAATAAATTAAAGGATATTTCCCAGGTATTCCAGAATTTAGCCCAGTCTCCAGCATTACCGTACGTAAAGAGGAGCAATTCTTTGAAAGAATTAGTAGTTGACGCATTTTCATCGATCTTTTGATTATAGTAGTTTATTAAGTCTAAAGTATCCCTTGCCCTATTCTTTGCTTGAAAAATTGAGGGCTGACCAGGCAAATCAGGAATGTCACCTTCTTGATAAATAATATCGTCGATCGTTCTAGAGCCAATTACGGTATCACTCTTTTGAACAAATGATAATCTCCAAAGCAACGGGAGGAATTCAGGATGGCGTGACATGTCAATTTGTTCTTTTGAAAACCGGAACAAAGCAGACACAAATTGAGCCAACTTATCGTATAACTCGTCCGAGTAAGAATTCATTTGTTTCGAATTAGACAAATCAAAGTGCTTTTTAATTTCAGGCGAGTCAATCAACAATTTTATGAAATCGACCATATCTTGAGTTCTTTCTTTTGATAAATCTATACTATTGCTTAATATTATCTGTAAGGAGCTATACTTATCTAATAGTATGGAAGTTAATTTCTCCAAGGAAATGACATCTGGATTTTGAATATGAATTGATCGGTAAAAATTGAATCTCGTATTATAATCTTTTATAGTTGGTTGTTGGAAATCAGATTCAAAACTTTGTATATGTAGTTTTAGGTTGTCGACAGTTAAGCTTTCTCCTGTCAATTTATGAAGGTACGATTCCAAGGACTCCTTTGACAGGAAAGTAGAGTACAGTCTCATTTGTTGCAAACGTCTTGCAAAAGGCGTCATCGTATGGAATCTTCTAATACCAATAAAAATATCATCAGACTCTTCAGCTGCAGATTCCGGCTTCGAGTATTTTTCTAGATCTTCTTCTCGACACCACAAAGTTTCTAAATTCAATTCGTCTCTTCTACTGTCGGTCAAGATATGTATGCATGTATTATTGACTGCAGTATCACACATTACCCAACTATTTGGTGTTCTGCCATAATCGTTGTCGGTTGCAAGTGGGCCCTTCCTGGCTCTTCTAAGCATACGACGACGTGCAGCCGGGGTCTTACTATTCGAAGCCATTCCTTCTATTTTAGGAATCAAGTTATAATTATGCTTTATATACGTTCTGAGCTCGTTAGATGCCTTGTAGATATGCTTTTCTGATTTCCCAGTACAAATAATCATATATTCGGTTGGTTGGTTGTCTGCATGATACTCATTTTCAGGATCTAATTGCGTCAAGTCAAATAACTCGATATCTTCTAAACCATATTCATTTGAAAGTAGCTCTAAAAACGTATTAACACTCGAAGGTGCATGATCTGGAACAACGGGCAATTCAACATTCTTGTTGTCTAATAAAGGCGATGACGAATCATCACGTAAATACCACGGAACAGACTCTCCTGCATTCATTTCAGCCTTATACATCCCATCTTTTACTTCATTCATATTTCCCTTCGATACCTGTTCGGTTGGTTCGATTGGATCTTCGCCAACTAGTTCACTCAAGTTTAACTTTGAATTCTGACTCGTTGAATAATACCTATAATTCGTTGCCCCAATAAATCGACGAACAATATACGGACCACCTCGACGGCCTACATAACCCAATAAGTTTGCCATTACTAACTAATATTTTATGGTAGAGTTTGTCTAGTAAAGTATCTTCAATGGAAAATTTAACTGAAGTGTCGTGCAAGATAATAAATTTGCGATAATAAATTTTTTTGATTCTGCTCATCTTTAAGTTGCAGATTTAATCTTTAACACCTGAAGATTAGTTTGTATATATGACGATATAATTACAATATGGCAAAACTTGTTCATAATATACAGAAGAAGCAACATAGGGAACGTTCCCAGACCCAAGACAGGGCCAAATATGGTCTTTTAGAAAAGAAAAAGGATTATAGATTGAGAGCAGCAGATTACCATAAGAAACAAGCCGCTTTAAAAGCATTGAAACATAAGGCGTCTAGTTATAATCCCGATGAATACTATCATGCTATGACAAGCAAAAAGACTGACGATCGTGGGGTATTGGTGGCTGATCGTGGAAATGAAGCGATGTCTGTGCAACAGGTTAAATTATTGAAAACTCAGGATATTAATTATATTAGAACTATGAGATTGAATGAGTTGCTGAAGATCAACAAACAAAAAGACAATTTAGACTTTAAATCACAGGGAAAACACACGGTATTTGTGGACTCTTTCGATAAGCAAAAGCAATTTAAACCAGAAGAATTCTTTGAGACAGACAAAAGCATGTTGAAAAGACGTGAGAATAGGTTGAAAATAGATCATTTGGAGAAGAACGAGAAGTTGATCAAACAGGACCCAATAGAGGATCAGAACCAGAAGGACAAACAGGACTTGAAGAAGTTGAAGCAATATAAATTATTAAAAAGGAGATTGGAAAGAGAACAGCAGTTGAAGGAGGTTGAGTCTAGAATGGAATTAACAAAAGAGTTGATGAAGAAGGGGAGTGAAAAAAAGACGGTTGATTCTAATGGCAAGGTTCAATTTAAATGGAAAAATCAGAGAAAACGTTAATATTTTGTAAGGCTTAGTCCCAAACCAACTTGTATATTATTTTTGGCTATATATATATAATATAATAATTATAGAGTTTAATCTGATTTTTTTTGGCGCTCAATCATCATTATCGAGACTTCTGTTGACGTACTCAACAAATAATGGAGTTATCCTATCAACATCTACACTTCTCATTCTATTCAAACTGATATATGACCTTCTTATCCGCTGTAACTGAGCTATACTTACACTTGTAGCAGGCATTTGGACGAACAACTTCTTTTCTTTATCTATTAATGCATCTCCCCCAATGCTCATTAATTGTTGGTGTTGAACGATTTTGCCTATTACTGCCAGTGTTTGCTTGTCGAGTTCTTGCAAAAAATCATTTCCCGAGGTTGGTTTCACTAAAGTAGCTGCATTAGGCGGAGGAGGACGCTTCAAGACAAGACAATCCCAAATTTCATCTATTGGTAATGTCTCCTTGTCATAGTCAGACATAATAGTAAATAGAGGTGAATCCCACCTAGTGTCATTATTAGGCTCCTCATATCTCATGCTCAATTGTTTAATAAGTTCATCATCCCACTTTTTTTCGTCATTATTTTCATTATTCCATTGAATGCTCGTATCTAAAGAGCTCATTACATGGATAACACAATGTGGTGTTACTACTCCCTTCGCTTCGCAGTATAATTGGTACCTAAACCCTTTAATATATGCCAAAGAATCTAAAATAACAAAATTAGTACGAGATAAGTCTCTCTTAACAGCAGACATTTGACTGCCTCTAGCATGCTTCTCCATGTTCGAATCTTTATATGAATCGTGAGAAATTCCTAGTGTTTCATCAGAGTGATAGATTATAGAATAGTTATGTCCTGGTCCGTTTGATTGTTTAGCAGAATTGATTTTCTCTTCTAATAACAGTTGTAACTTCTTAGCCCATTTTGTTTTACCCGATGAAGGTAACCCTGTGAATGTTATCAAGGGCATTTTTGTTCTATTATCTATTCTTCTATCAGTTAAATTTTTCACATCGATTTGAAAATAAAATTCGGTCTACGAAACTGATGAGGGAAGGTAACTGATTAACATGCACCAAACAATTTTATCTTAATACATTAATATGTCTTTTATACCTAGAAGGATATTTCCTAATTACTCTCTACCGCTATCCAACTTTAAGGGACACCACCAAAAGGCTCTAACGAAGTTTGGCCATTTGGCTCCTCAGATTGATTTAGTACTTGAAGTCAGAGATTCAAGAGCTCCCGTATCAACGAAGAACGTATTATTTGATAGAGTATTGGCTCAAAAAGAGAAGATTATACTTTATACCAAGAAGGATCTCTCAGTTTTGAAAAGTGACTTGATAAGAAAGTGGCACGATGCAAGTAACGAAGAATGTTTATTCATTGATGCTAGAAGTAAAGGTGATGCCCAAAAAATCATTGATCTAGTAGGGAAAAGGTATTATGCGATGACACCTCCTCCGCCACTAGGGCTTAGACTTATGATTATTGGTATGCCAAATGTTGGAAAGTCGACCTTGGTGAATACATTAAGAAATGTTGGATATAGTTCAAAGATTACAGGAGCTATATCAGGAAAGAATAGGAAAGTAGCGAAAACTGGTGGACAGCCTGGTGTCACAAGAGCAACAAGTGAGATTATTAGACTTAGCACCAAGCCCGATATACTTGTATATGATACACCGGGTGTATTTCTACCAACCGTTAAGGATAACGAAACGATGTTAGCACTAAGTCTTATCGGATGCGTTCATACCTCATTTATCGATCCGGTTATACAGGCTGATTACTTGCTTTACTTATTGAATTTACAGGACCCTACGGGATCGAAGTATAAAGAATATATCGATCATCCTACGAATTCTATTGATGAACTCCTCTATCATATCGCTCTTAAAAGAAATAAACTTGGAAAAGATGATTCATACGATGAGCTTGGAATGGCTACTCATTGGACAAGTCTTTGGAAACAAGGAAGACAAACGAAATATAAGGGATTATTCGACTTACCAACGATTTTAGAGATAAATGGTGATGAATTACAAAGCATTTTTAAGAATGAACGAGAAAGAATTAGTGGAATGACCGTGAGTAATAAAATTGAAAATAGCTTAGGCGAGGACGGCACTGCAGCATCGAAGCATCGGAAGAGAACAGCCAAAGATAGGAAATACGACTTACAAAACCAATTATTTAAATTGTAATATACATATACGTGTACATAGATTAATTTAATAGATCATTAATATCTGGCAATGCCTCATAATCACCTTCACCAGCACCGTAATTTCCCTGGGCATTTTTCATCATAAATATATCATTTAGGTTATTATTATTTGGCATTTTTCGCTTCTTTTTGGCTTCATCTTCCTGTTTTATGTACTTTGTATCAAGCTCCTTTATAAGCTTTTTTGCAGCATTCTTAGAGTTTTTGTTGAGATCTGTTAGCCACTCATCATTGGTTGTTGAATTTATTTTCAATACATTAGATAAATTAAATAGGTTTGTCGAGGGGCTAGAACTATCGTTTTCGTTAGAAATTAGATTGTCTTGAATAAAATTTGGATTGTTTAAGTATTCATGAAGATTTCCATCTTCCAACGATTTAATGATAATCTTCTTGATATTTAGATTGAATTTATGAATTGCAGGCGACGATACCAACAATCTAGAAGAGACACCAAAATGAGACAACTTTGGGAAAGTAATTAACGAATCATTAGATAGAGTCGCTTTATTATTTTCCACAAAGAATGTATCTGAGTCATTACTTTCATTATCCTTTTCCTTTCCTTTTTTGTCTAAATCCCTAGATAATATAAATGATTCCATCAAGCTATTAGTAGCAGCGGTTGGAAGAGTTGTTTCATTCGATGACTCTTCATCATGTTCTTGCTTTATTGCGTTGTCATCAGGCGAATCATTATTTGACGTAAAGGATTTCCCACTAGTAGTCTTGATAGAAGTCAACAAAGGAAATTTTCCTATCTTCTCATCTTCCCTAAATGGTAATCGTACCAAGATAAATGCATACACAAATCTTTCATTTACTTTTATCTTTGAGGGTATTAAAATACACACTTTAATCTCATCATTGGGTTTTTGGACATATCTTATTAATGCTAAACCTTCAAGATCAACTAAAGACTGGCACAAGCCATTAAAACCAACAAGGTTCTTATATGAACATGAGGCTTCTGGTAACAAATAGTACGACTCACCTGTTAAATATGCATAAGGCAAATCATCCATTTTTATGAACCCTAGAATATCCATGCCTGAATCAGAAGCAAGCTTTGCCGAGTTTAGCAAATCTTCATCAAGAGTCAAAAGATCATAATTTGAATATTTAAATCCATCAGTCCATTCATTTGCATCAATAGAAACGGTTTCTAAGTCATTATCTTTGTCTTCATCATCGACATATCGCCGTTTCCTAACTTCATCATCATCCTCATCATCCTTATCTTTAGATGAGACCAGTTTAATAAAATAATCTTTAACATATTTGGTTTTATCAACAGAGTTATCTTCAGGATCTATCGTATATTGATGTCCGCTAGCTAGCTTTTCAGCCTTAAGAGCAGGGTAAAGTTCCACGTTCAAGGAAATACACGTTTGATCCAACTCTGGGACATAATCAGAATTTTCATTCTTGTTGTAATGATCACTCCCAAATCTTAATTGTCCTTTAAATGCTCTCATTGGCTTAACTTTCTTGAGCGGTGGGTTGTGTAATATAGACTCTACTATTTGGGCTGTAGTGTAAACCTCGCTTGTTTTATATGTATGGAAAGCCGAGGCCCAACCAGATTCATTTTTAGCCTTCTCGGGTGACTTGCCAGGATGTTTTAATCCATCAACATCAAAATCAATTCCATTGAGTACAACATTAATATTCATCTCATTGATAGCATTTCGAGTTGCGTCCGCAACTTTTGTCTCAAATGATTTAATTTTAGATTCTGCATTGGTTATAACCACAACATTCCGTACAAATTTAAGCTTTTGAGTATCTTTCAAAAGACCAATCCCTACTAACATGCTTTCAAAGCAGTCTCCTTCGTCCTCGGTTATTTCTGTCATATTTGGGCGAAGTAGTTCTTTATATTTTCGAAGATCATCATATGTTGGTGCAATCTTATTTGAAACTACTTCAATGCTTTTGAACGAGTCTTCACTAGAGAAAGGGTTTTCTGTTCTATTGGAGTGGCATGTAATAACAGAAATGTAGTCAGTTTTCCTACCCCTTAAAACTTTGTTTGTAACTATATCGTAGAAATACTTCAATCCGTATTCTAAATCACTTATATTACGACCATTCGATTTATTCGCCATAGAAGGCGATAAATCGACTATAAATGTAGTGACCTCTTTACTAGCCATTTGAATCTTGATGATTGATCAGTAAAACAAATTTCAAAAATGATCTTAGGTGCGTAGTAGAACATAAATAATCCATATCAGTTATACAAAACGATCTTTCTAAACAAGCATCAATTGAATACATATTAACAAATCATAGAAGTTCGTATAAACCAAATATAATCAATTCGTCAATTACATCCTCAGGATATCATATCTTAACACAGACTGCTGGCATTTTCGAAAAAAATGAGTCTACCATACAAACATAAATATCAGCAGTATCCTCAATATCTGGGCCAGCAGACAGAATCGCAAGGAATAGAGCCAAATGCAAATGTACGACTGATACAGCCGGCATCTTTTCCGTCAATCCAATCACAAATACCGTCAAGTATTCCCAATACTGGTGTTTTCGGGGGAATTGCATATCCTACAAATGATCTGGACGCCAACCAAACGCAATACCAAGGTAACCATAGAAGTAATACCAGCATGGGTGACGTATTTGATACAGAGGGGCCCGTTCCATTTTTATCTACAGTAGGGGGATCAATTGATCAAAATATGCAATTTCTGTACCAGAATCATGTAGGACATAATTCGTATCCTAATATACTAGATTATTCCTCGTTTGGTGGAAATCCAAATACGATGGCTCAACAATCCTCGCAGCAGTATCCATATGACCTAGTGCAATCTAGCCAACTGTTTCAGAAACTTCCTATTCAATTGTCAAAATCTTATGAGTCAGTCGATCTTACAAAGGGACCCAATTTAAAGTTTCCAGCTCAATATCAACAGGTGAAGTCAGAGGACACTGAAATTCCGTCATCGAAAGTGAAAATGGAAAGCCCGGTATTTTCATCTACATTTAACGAAGCTTCTGAAACGAATGCTAGTAAGACTACTTCAAAGAGCCATTTCAAACCAACACAAACGAAGCGTAATGCAAGACCACGAATTAACAAACTAAATAGAAGCGAACCACATCTCCTGAAAATTAATACAAAAAAACCAAAGCTTTCAAGTACAGTGAATTTGATGGCGGAATTATCAACTGATGAATTATTTAGACATTTTCAGGATACGTTAAAGATAGAGAAGCCAGATGGATCTCAAAAAGCGTCTTTCTATTTAAAAATGAAGAACGAATTGGAACGACAGCTCTTTGATCTATTTGTGAATCACTTGTCAAAGTCGATAGACATTTTCTTTCCACAAGAAGTTTTCCGTAAGATTATACCCGAGTTAGCATTAAACGACGAAACAAATATGATAGTGTGTTCTATATTTTGTTTGAGTTCGTTAATGTTACAGAGAATTAATCCTGATAAGTTTGACCTGTCTATAACGATTAGGTATTACCATCAAACTATTACATCTATAAGATACTATCTAAGTATACCTGAGATTGAAGAAAAAGATAATGGTATTATGGCACGATGCTTACTAAGTACAATATTGTTATGTATATATGAATTATTCTTCGTGGCTATTGACAGCACTTACATTAAGGGGGCATCAAGTATATTGTCATCAATTTTAATGAAGAAAAGTGGGAATAAAAGCTTACTTAAGGATTCTCCATTTTATCAGATCTGCTTTTGGCCTATGCTATTATGTGATTTAATATTTTCGTTGAAGTATAATTCACCAAGCATGTATTCTATTGAAAGCTTTTGGAAACCATTAGACCCAGAATATTTTGAATTATATGGAGATTTTTCCACCTATGGCTCATCCAAAACTGAAAATGACGCCGAATTGGTAAAGCTAACCACCACTAAGGTAAACACTACGTGGTGGATACATAAATCTATAATTGATTTCAGTTCTATAACCAGATTCAAGAATGACATTAATGTTTTAACTAAAGAGGATTTCGAATCCAACAAACCATATTTAGAATGGTTAGAACTAAAGAGAAAGCTCGACACCTTTGAGAAGCAAATGCCTTTGACAATAAAACCAACAATATATAAATCATGTTCCCCTGATAGACTTTTTCCAATAATTTACTTCAAAGACGAAGCTACAGCCATAATTGGCTTGAACTACAAACTAGCCAAGATAATGTTGTACGAAGCATTGATCCAAAAGACGAACCTATCAGATCCTTTGGCACAAGCGGAGTACTTGAAATATCCAAAACAATATGCTGTGAAGTTGGCAAAAGATATAATAGGCATAATCAAAACTTATGATGCCAACTTGTCTGTTTGGACAGTAAACGCACATGCTCTCAGGTACGTTGCCCATTACGTGCAACATGAGCCTGAAGCATCCAAGGGATTAGAAGAGCTAGTAGAGAGACTTATGGCAATTTGCCATTTGTGTCTCTAGACCAAATGAATAGATATACATACATTCATACATATATAGACTTTATTTACGTACAAATTGATGCAGTATGATTCAATGTTGTGTGGCTACTTTAATTAATATAGATCCTAACCTTATAGTAAGGTAAACAAGAAGAGACAACTACGTATATATTTGCTTAGTTATTCTGTCATTACTAGTTGCGAAATTCCTGGACAGCTCTACTTATGGCTGTTTGATACTTTTTAAAATTCAATCCTTATTCATGATAACAGGTTCTTCTCTTATAATCTCACTATCCTCAACATATTTTACATCCGGGAACTTGCAAATCTTTGATCTGTATCTATATGCCCATGATTACTTGGAAATCTAAATCTGAAACATCTTCGTACCTAGATTGATAGTGACATGAGTAATTCTCACGTGCGAGATTGCTACTAACTCCAGACCCTTGTATTCTACAACATGAAATTCCTATATTTTCTGTATCCGCCTTGCTTTTGTCCAAATAATACTTATCATATATATTGCTACGATTTTGAAGAATTAAGAATCACTCAACTCGATACATTTTAAGCCAAGCAATGAGCGGACTAAATATTAAAGAGTTGAGGCAAAAAGGCAAAGATCCTATATTTTGTCTGCAAGTGTCACCAGAATTATTAGACGAAATTGTTGGATTACTATTGTGTAAAAAGCATAGATGTGATTCGGAAAGTATTGATTTGATAGCGACAATTTCAAATATTTTGCTTATCAACATAGGACTTCGCAATGAACACTTTATTCCAAACTATTCTATACGATCAATTGAATTCTTGGACAATTTTATTAATTCCGCCGTTTCAGAGAGTGACGAGCCTAAACACGATTTTGGTAGATTGGTAGCCGTTTATCGTATGATATTCTTAATATTGTGCAATGAATTAAATCATATGGATACAAGAACTATTGCTACCATCTATTCTCTACTAATCTTGGGATTCGAATTCTGCTTTAGTGTTTTTGCTAAGTACAAGAAAGACGATAACTACCAAAGGGCATTTGCAGAGGTTTTGAAAGGCTTATATACGTTTCAACATAAACATGCCTATGGAGAACAATTGAATAAAGAAAATCGGTTAATCAATGAGGGTATATTACATAGTTGCATAATTGTGACAAATAGCATGATTGAGGAGGAGAAAAATATACGTTCATTACTGGGTAGTGAATTGTTGTTAATGAAGTATCTCTTGAACTCTATACTTGGGTTACTCACTCATGAACAAAATGTTAACAAATTTCGTATTAAGAATGATGATAGCAACAGTTCCTTTTTACGCAATCTTATGGTACTTATAGAATTTCAATTAGAAAGGCATTCTGATAAAACATACACCGATTTTGATTTGACTGATGTAATGAATCTTTTGGTAATAATCAATTATATTTCGAATAGAATTATTTTACAATATAACGAATCCGACGCTAATGAGGCTAGCTATTTAATATGCTTCATATCAATATTTATTGATAAATTATTGCCTATGAATGGTGAAATTTCTATTTATAACAAGTTGATGTCATTAATTTTAACTTCAAATAACGACGTGTCGATAAGTGGCATTAACATAGCCGATATGGCAAATCTTTCAAACATCAAAAATCTTATTCTTGAATGCATTTATAATCTATCTTGGGATCCAGAAGCCAAACATGATGAACGTATGAGCCAATTTTTAAATTTGGTAGGATACAGAAATGCTCAGGAGTTTCTAATAGCTAATAATTTACATGTACTGCTGGAAATTGATACAAGCACCGTTCAGTCTCCAAACCCCCAATATTTGGATATGAACAATAAAAAGTTTGAACATGAATTTTCCAAACTTTCATTAGACACAATATTTACTAAGGATAAACCATCGCATACCAAAAACCTTAGTAACAAAGAAAAAGAATTAGAAGCCGAAAAACTATTTGTGCTTTTCGATAGAATGGAAAAGAATGGCGCATTCCAAGGGTTTAAGAATCCAGTTAGAGAATGGCAACAACTGGGAAAGTTCGAAGATTTACCAGACGATGATGACTACTAATTAAAAATAATAATGCTTTTTATTGACGTTTCACGATAAATGAATCAAATTTTACATAGTAGTAAATAAAAAATTTAAGAGAATTGAATTAGGCAACCTAAACGATTTTTTCCTTGATTTGAAGTACAATTGCCGTTCTTGATGGAATATAACAAAATAATGCATTAGATCTATCATTCCATCTTTCATTGTTAGTGAAGAATTGTAACTTTTCACCCGTTTCTTTGTTCGTTTCTTCAATTCTACCATGGCCTCCGAAACTAAGACTGTCCGAGTTTAAAACTATTTGGTAGACACCTGGTGTTTCTACCCCAACCTTGTAATCGGCATAAGAATTGGTAGGATGAAAATTAAAAATGAATAATAAGCCGTTTCTTTCAAAGACAATAACCTTATCGCTTTCATTTTTTAAAGATACATACGCTTGCGAAGATAACAATATACCATACTTGGTATCTAAATGTTGCATTGCACCATCAAAGGCAAACAAAAACTTGTAACGCAATAAATCATCTTCAATTAAATTAAATTGTCTTCTGGCATAAGCATAGGATTCACCGTTTCCTTCTCTTGGAAAGTCTAACCATTCAGGGTGGCCAAACTCATTGCCTTCGA